ATCCCTTTACAGAAATTCAGAAGCTTCTTTGATAAAGAGTTGGTACTATGTAAATTCTTTTGAACGTAAGATTTTTCAACAACATCCTTTCAAATAAATGTTTTCTGAATTCAGAGTATTGTTATACTGGTTTCCTTTTAACAAATAAGGTCTAAATTTAATATTTGGAAGGCAGACAGTTGTATTTTAGCCATTACATTGTAAGTACTTCTTTTTTTTTAATTAAGGAAGCAAACTTTTGCTTTTTTTTTAATTCAACAAATGTCTTTTGAGCACTTGTTAATGTGCAGGGATCTCATCCAAGTTGGAGATATAACAGTAAACAAAAGAGACAATGTTCTTACCCTCCTGATGCCTGCCTTCTAATTAGGGGAGATAGAAAAACCAGAAATTTAATTCTGAATTCTTGTGACTGTAGTGTGGTCTGAGGATCAGCAGCATTGGAGTCACCTGACAGCTTGTTGGAAATATGATAGGTAATAAGTTCTCCCACCCCTTGACCTTCTAAATTAGGATCGTCATTTTAACAAGATCCTTAGGTCATTTATATGCACATTAGAATTTGAGAAGCACTGTTCTATAAAGAAAAGTAGAGTGGTATGAATTTGGAAAAGGTGCCACCACTGGGGACCCATGGCTTGGCAAGTTAATGACACCTTTGTGAGTATCAAAGAAAAGGCATCCCTTTGAGGGTGGGGTCAGGAACAGCCTTGTTATCAGCACATAGGTCCTGGCAAGTGGATCTTGGGCTGGATGTCAGCCTCTACTCACCTCCTCAGCTAGATACCTTGTGCAGTGAACAGCCTCCACAGCCATTCATAGCAGACCTGTATCACACGTAGAAGAATATATAAAATGTATCTGAAGAATAGAATAACATGAACACTTTCATTCCCACTATACAGGGCAATCTGGACAGGTTGCCCATAATGCCAGGTGCCCAGGTTGCTATGTATTTTGTGCTTCTAAGCTTACCATGGTCTACCTCAAAGTTTTTGTAAATTGAACTTAAAAAATATTAGTTACCCTTGAAGTTACTTAAATACTTTTTTTGATTTTGTTTTGATTTTAAAGCATTTGTTTCTTTTTTGTGATTAATAAATAGAATATTAGGAGGATGTTTAAATCTTCCTGTTTGCCTTTCTCAATTGATAGCCCCCCGTGTAACCGCCCTCCTGATTTTTGTGTTTGTCTTCCCTTGCTTTTCTTTATCGTTTTGTCACTTAGTGTTGTATCTTACAAAATTTAGGATTTAATTTTTCAGAAGCCAAGTAGCAAGCACAAACCTAGCTTTTGTGAAGAGAGAGCACAATTGCCACTTTTAGATGAAGACTTCTAGGAGAACGTAAACTGAAAAGTCTCTGGGTAGCCGCTCTTGCTTCAGCTTCACTGGCAGTTTACATGAATCCTGTGAGGAAGGCAGTGGGCAAGGTCGTTAGTGAGTCCAGGGAAACATGGCTCAACCTACGCAGGACGTCAGGCAGGGCAGAAGTATGGGCTGGATGCTGGGTATTGGGCAGGAATATGGTTAGAGGGGGGGTGTTATATATTTTTTGCTTCTAAGCTTCCCATGGTCTACCTCAAACTATTTGGAATAGGTCAAAGCAGAATGCTTTGTAAGGTGAGATGAGGGACCTCACGTGGCGTGGAATGGGGGCGTGGAGGAGAGAGTGGGAACTTTATCAATACATAGTCCAAATGATCAAGTACATTTGAGAATTTGTTCAGGCTCACTTGGGCAGTGTGTCCTCATGTCAATAAATGGTACAGAGGCAGTGGGGATCTTGGTGATAAGAGCCTTCAACATGCCTGGCTGCAGTCTGGATAGGTTGCCCTCAATGCCAGGTGCCCAGGAGTCTTCCTGGGAGCTCTCTTTGATGCCATGTTATGGATGTGCATTGCCTCTCTCTCTGCTGCATCTCATGTTTTCTGTATCCCATGGCATCATCTTTTTTTGCTTACTTTGTCTTTTGGTGTAGAGCACACATTCTAGTAACTTCTTTTGAAAGAGTGCATGAGAAGTAAATTTTTAATCTTTTATTCTGAAAAATGTTTTATATTCCTTACCACACTTGTTTAAGTATATGGTTAGAGGCTTGGGAGTCATTTTTTCAACAGCTTTTGAAGGCAGTTGCTGTTAAAGTCCAAAGCCATATAAATGGAACTTGCTGGGTTTTGTTATTTTGCCTTTTTTTTCGGGGGCGGGGAGAGGAATAAAAAGTAGGCATTTTTGAGGCTTTGGGTCATCAGTATTAACATTTTTGGTTTGTTATGATTTAACAGATGTTACATTTTAAGAACAAAATGAGGAAAAATAAATGAAACCGTCTTGCACATTTGACTCTGAGTGAGTGAACTTAATATAATGATAAATCTTCAGGGTAACATTGTTTAAGCACATGTTTGAGATCAAATGTCAGTATTATTGTCTGAATATTTTTGCCTGTGTGTGTGAATGAATTAAATTGTTAACATCCTCTTTTTCCATTCAGTACTGGCTGCTCTATCCCCGTGCCCTAATGTAACTGTATTAATTGTGTGTAGTGTATTCTTAAATGTTTTCTTAAGTACTACTACCTATGTCAGTGTTTTAAGACTGTTTTTGTTTTACAAATGCTTGAATACATGACAAGGGTTTCATATAAGCACACTAGGTCATATTTCTGTTTTTTTGTTTTTTTTAAACAATTGTTTATTATGGAAAATTTCAAACATATAACAGAGTGGAAAGAATAGTATAATAAATTTCCATGCACCCATTACCCATCTTCAACAGTTATCAACGTTTTTTTAATGTATGTTTTTTGGTAAAGAAACCAGGTTCTTTGGATTTGACTGATTAATTCTTTATGCTGTTCTTTGACTTGTTCCTCTAAATCTTGTATATCCTGTAAACTAGTTGTTAGATCTGGAGGCTTGATTAGATTCAGGCTCAATTTTATTTTGGCAGCAGTACCCCTTCTAAGTGGTTCTGTGTACTTCCTATTGCATCATATCAGGGCACACACATAGTCTGGTTATCCTACTGTTGGTGAAATTAAAATTGCTCAATGAGTCCAGCTCTCGTCAGTCTGATCCTTTATAGTGTTTCTTATTAACCTTTTACCTAATGGTTTTAGCAGCCATTCGGCACATATTTGTTAGAATTGAAAGTGGTTATTTTCTTATACCTCTCACTTATTTCTCCCTCAGTAATAAATCATATTAACAAATGAAGGGATTTCATTTAGTAATCAGAGCTTGATGAATGAACTTGCTTATATCCCAAGAAGGTCCCTGGGTGGTGCGAATGATTTGCTCTACTCTGCTAACTGAAAGGTTGGTGATTTGAATCCACCCAGTGGCACCGTGAAAGAAAGACCTGGCAATCTGCTTCTGTAAGATTACAGCCAAGAAAACCCAATGGAGGGCAGTTCTACTTTAAAGGACTTGAGGTTTCCAGGAGTCGGATTCGACTCAGTGGCAACAGGACATCCCAAGTAATTTGAAATTTAGAGTGAATTTGATTTACATAAAATTTGTAGTCTTTTTTTTAAGCTAGTCAGATGCTTTTTTCTGTTCTCTAAAAATACAAACTTAGATTGCTTTACATTACATTACATTTTTAAAACGAATCATGTAGAATCTGACTATATTAGAATCAAAACGAATTTTTTTTTTTGCTAAAGGTTACATATTCCACTTTAGAGTGTTAAAAACTATTGCTTTGTAAAGTTACACAGTGGTTAATTGTGCAAAAATCATCAAGTAAAGTAAGGCAATGATGAACTCTAAATTCAGGATGTAATTACCTCTGTTGGGAGGTAGGAGGATGGGATTAGGGAGAGGTACAGGGGACTTGAAAAGTACTGCTAATATTCTTTTTCTTAGGCTGAGTAGTAAGTACATGGATGTTCATTTTATTTTTTTGTTATTAAAGTTTACACCCCATGTTTTTATAATATGTAATTTATTTCAAAATTAATAAGAATAAATGGCCTCATTTTCTAAAAGAATATAAAGTATTTCTGAAGATACTCATTACATCGTAAACATTAAAAGTTTTTATCTCCACAAAAATGCCAAAAAGTATCTAGCTTACAAAACTACTTCTTTAATATAGGATAAAAAAAGAAAAGGTAATTGTGTATCTTATTTGAGGCAATAGCCCGTTTTTTAAGTTCGTGCTTTTAAAATTATATTTAACATGAGCCTGTCCTTCTAAGTATGGAGTGGATATATGTGGCTGACTGTAAGTGTTAGGATGGAGAAAGGTGATCTGAATTGCATGTGTGCAGCTTTCCACTCTTAGTTGTAGAATATCCAACTTTAATGCTCATTTGTTTGTCATTTTTGTGGACTTAAATGTAGGCCTTTAAGCAATGGCGTCCCAGTATTTTTTATATCGAATGGGTTTAGGAATCAGACTCATTGAATGTGGGGCCTAGAGACTGTGTTTGAATTTCTATTGTAGACATGCTGATTTAGCTTAGATGGCCTGTTTGGGGGCAACTGAGGGATTCTGCTGTAGGAGCAAAAACAACTCAGGTCCTCTTTGAGCATTGCCACTGATTTAAGAGCCTTGTCTTGTCCACTCTTAGCTGACCAAAGGGCAGGTTTATCTTGAATCATTTTGGGTATTTGGTCAAAAATTTTAAATTTTGTATAGAATAATGGGTTTAGACGAAAACACTATTCTAAAAAGAAACCCTTTAATAATATAAAGTATTAAATTTTGTATACAATTACACGTTTTCTGACAGTCTGTTACTGTAACTGCTAAGCCTCCCAATTTAAAATTTCCTCAGGTGGTTTAGAAGTTACCTTGTAATTCTTACAAAATATGTCTCTAATAATAATTTAATTATATATAGAAGTAACATGTATCTGGCAAATAATTAATTTTCATGATCCTGTTACACAGGATGATAGGTGAAATGATTTTTAAGATTGAAATACAATAATTAAAAGAGGTAACCTCCCCCTCCCTAAAAAATTATTTTCTCACAACATTCTGTTAGGTAACTGAAATCCAGGACTGGAGTGCATCAAGCCCACACAGCGCAGCATATGTTCTTTGGGATAATGGTGCTAAGAACCTTTACAGAGTTGGCTTTGAGGGCATGGTAAGTAGTGAAAAACCACAACAGATGAAAATGTTGGATGACTGAAAGGAGGGTAATAAGAATAGCCCTTATTGTATTCTTTTATCTTGTGACTTCTCCTTCTGCCAGTTGCATGCCTCAGGAAGTCTGTTGTGAATACAGCTTGTGAATCATGAATATTCAACCGGAAGGAAACCTGTAAAGTGAGGATTTAATAAACTTTCAAGACCTTTACATTTTTACCATGTCTGTTTAAACTATTTAACAGTAAATATAATTTTTCCCTCAGTTAATGTTTGAGTACCTTAAATATATATATACATATTTATATATTCATTGTATAGAGACGATCTCTTACAATGTTAAGGGGTTTATTTACTAAAATCCATCAGAAAGATTTAGAGTTATCTGTAAGGCCACTTCATGGCATGGACCCTGAGGACAGTATAATAATGAAGTTTTATGGTATATTTGTATTCAGTGCTCTGGTATCTGATAAAAGTATAAATTACAATAAGATTTTTTCCCCATATTTTTTAAATGAAATGTTGATAGTTTATAATGATTGATGTAGGAACATCTTGAATTACTTCAGAGCTTAGGAGAATAATGGATGTTTATTCAATGGATTATCCTATATTTCTGCACTCATGGACCATCATTCAAATATTGACCTCAGCTGTTTAATATACAGGGTATAATTAAACATTATATTATGTAATGCCAAAACATTAATACTTTTCATATTCTTTTCCATCTTGAATATGTTCTCTATTCAAAGATTTTTTTAAATCTCATTTTTTCTCTACTGTTTTGTACTCCTAATTAGGAGGGGAGAAAATACCCCACTGTCCCCTTGCCTTAATTTATTCTGTTTACATGTAAAAGCCAGCCACGTGAAGTCAAATACTTTACTTGCCGATTTTTATAATTGTAAATAGCGTCAGTTGTCATTTTTTAACTATTATCTTCATGCCTTTGTTTTTAAATTGTGGATTTTTGTAGGATTCTGACTATTGCTTCAGATGAAGCCTCGAGTGCTAAATGTATTCAGGAACTTCATAATGAGTAGTTTGTATAGATTGATCACATTCTTTTTTGATGGCTGAGTAGTACTCCATCAAATGGCTATACCATTATTTATTTAATCTGATTTTTGTTGGATATCTGGTTTTTGTTTTTTCTTTTACTGTTGCATAAAGTATTGCAGTAAACATTGTGGGCACATGTCTTTGCACACTTATGGGTATATGTTCTCAGGATAGATTCCGAGAAGTGCAATTGTTGGGTTAGAGTATCACATTAAAACAATTTGACCCCATGTCTCTTTGGCCAGGATTGAGGTAAATGTGATGCTCTAGCAGCAAAGGAAGCTATAAAAGAGAGTTGGGTTTTGTGTGTGTGTATATGTGTTTTATATATGTGTAAAGGAACTCCTTTCCTTAATAGAGTAAGTATATACTGATCACCCTTCCTTAATAGAATGTAATACATACTGATACCTACTTATATGCCAGGTATCTGTTGCTGCTGAGTTGATACCAACTCATAGCAACCCTATGAGTTGAACTGCCCCATAGGGTTTCCAAGGCTGTATTCTTTATGGAAGCAGACTGCCGCATCTTTCTCCCATGGAGCCACTGGGTGGGTTTTGTCCGCTGACCTTTCAGCTCCGGGAGCAGTGACACTACCAGAACCAAAAACCCATTGTTGTTGAGTTGATTCCAACTCATAGTGACCCTATAAGACAGAGTAGAACAGCCCCATAGGGTTTCCAGGGAGTGGCTGATGGATTCAAACTGCCAACGTTTTGGTTAGCAACCGAATTCTTAACCACTGTACCACCAGGGCTCCTTATATGCCAGGTTCTGTTAAGTAAATCTACCTGTAAATTTTCACAGTAACCCCCAAGGTTGCTCTTCTAAGTTCACATTTTCTTTACTTTTTTTTTTTTTTTTAATACCACTGCTGCCTCCCCATTCAGATTCTTAAATAGTAATTTGTTTTCTTATAAAAGCTAGGTAGGAAGGAACTTGAATTAACCAAGTTATAGTAAAGTAAGGACTAAAAAGGACTAGAAGAATTAACTGGACGAGAAATCAAAAGACTGGATTTGGCTCCATCCATTTCTACTTTCAGTATATTTAATTTTGGATCATTTATTTTACTTCTTGTCTTCATTTCCTTATTTATAAAATAAGTTAATACCTGCCTTGTATATCTCATAAAATCGGGAAGTTAAATGAGTTAAAATTTTTTTTTTTTTGTATAAGTATCTTTAAAATTGAATGTGTTCTGCACATTTTAAATACTAGGTATTTGTTGTAATCTGCCTTTAGTGTGTATTTTTAAAAATGTTAAAATGTTAAAGATTCAGGCATTTTATTTTTGAACATTTTGAATGAAGATTCTATAGCAGAATCTTGGTCAAAAGGGGGAAAATGCAGAACAGAATTTAAAATTCTCAAAGACTCTAGACTTGCTGGAGCCCTGGGGACTGGATAAACCCCTGATACTAGTGCACTGAGATAATCTTTAAACCTTAAACCAAAAATATCCCCTGAAGTCTTCTTAAAACCAAACAATAATTTAGCTTAACTAGTAAAGAATGTCTGCCCTGAGCATTATGCTCTTTTAAGAACTATCTATATGGATTCAGATTGACAGTGGCAACTTGAAAGGTTAGATAGGAAGCTTAGGGACCAGTGAGTTTATGTTAATGGTGGAGGAACAATTCAGAAAAGGAGGGTGAGAATGGTTGTACAACTTGAAGGATGTAATCTGTGTCACTGAATTGTACATATAGAAATTGTTGAGTTAGAATGTGTTCTGCTGTGTAAATTCTCAACATGCAGGCATTTTAATTTTGAGCTTTAAATAGAAGCTAAAAGTAAATAAAATATGATGTATTTGAAAATCAGGTTTATAGTTTCTGACAGGTGTGTTTGAAAACAGTGTTTAATGTGACTGTTAACCCATAGCTACTCATGAGTTGTTGAAGGTGTGTTCTGAATTAACATTTTTGCCTATTTCAGGTATTGAGCCATAGTTGAAATTTTCATGGATAATTTTTCTGGTTTCTTTTCTTCCTCTTAGTCTGATCTGAAGTGTGTCCAGGATGCCAAAGGAGGTTCTTTCTACAGAGATCACTGCCCTGTTCTAGGTGAGTTAGCAGACTAAAGAAAATTACTAAGTCATGGATCAGAGCAGATAGAATCACTGAAAATGTTTAAATTGAACTTAAAAAATATCAGTTGCCATTGAAGTTACTTACATTTTTAATTTTATTTTGACTTCAAAGTATTAGTTCCTTTTTTGTGATTTATTGAGATGCAGAAAGAGTTGTAATGTCTTGAGAATTGATAAGCCATTTATATGCCGTATACTTGAGAGTTTTATCTTTCAGCTATAAACTTACACTATTGAAAAATTTGGGTTAGTTTGCATCAGTATTATGTTTCATATGCTATTGAGAGTAGGGTTAGATAATTCAGGCTTCTAAATTCATTAGACTTTCTGTAGAATTGCCTTCTAAATAAAGAACAACTCCAAGACTAACGTGATATAGTAAAGATAATTTCATGTGTTGTTAAAATTTAAAAAAAAGCAAGAAAACTATAACTATCTTCATTTTGTAGATTCTTTATTGTTGCCAGGAGGAACGTTTACCACACTCTTCTTATGAAACCTGTAGTCTCTGAATGCTTTCCGTTCTCATGTGAAATGTACATGACTGTTTCCAAGTCATTTGACTTGTGTTTTTGCCAAAAAGTGCTGTTTTCTTGCAGTGTACCCTGATTTTTTTTTTTTAAAGGCGAATGTCGAAGAAATACATATGTTTATTAGATCCCCATTTCTACTGCTTTCAGAAACTTTCTTGTTTTGTGTCTTGCCTTCAAAAGAAAAGTGCAGAATCAACATGCACATTTTGGATCACTCAGCATAGTGTCTTATGATTATGAATCCTTTGTCGCAAAACTAGCTTTTGAAAATAAGCTAGGGAATGGGCTTTGGAATATTTAGAAGTGTTCTTTAGACAAAAATCAAAAGAACCTTTGTTAAAAAATAGTACTAAGCACTTCAGAGAAAAAATAATTTCATGGTTCTCTTTCATGTTCTCTAGTTATTATGACTCAGATGCAGTGATAGTCATCAAGCCATCCCAGCAGAAATGTTAATGTTTTCAACACCCAGAACTTTGTGTTCTGACATGGGCTTGCATAGGCTTTTGTGGATTCTACTCCTGTTCAGTCTTTGTTGTAAATCATCATATTATTTTGATTTTTGAGTTTGATGTTTGTTTTCTTTCTTCCCTTTTTTTTTTTTTAAGCTTACTAGTTCTAGAATCTCCTGCTTACAATGTATTTTCAAAGCATTTTAAAATTACATGGTAGCAAAAAGAAAATATCTAGAGCTTGTTCTTATTTAAAAATAATGTGATTTTATGTTGTTGCTGTGCCTTTTTTTCTTCAACTTCCTCTGCAATTACAGGTGAGCAAAATGGTAACAGGAATCCTGGTGGATTACAGATTGGTGACCTGGTAAATATAGATCTTGACCTAGAAATTGTGCAGTCTTTGCAGCACGGCCATGGAGGATGGACTGATGGCATGTTTGAGACTTTAACTACAACTGGAACCGTTTGTGGCATTGATGAAGATCATGACATTGTAGTACAGTATCCAAGTGGCAATAGGTTGGTGATATTTCTCAATGTTAGATAATGGCAGATAGAATTAGTATATAGAGATTTAAAGAAGGCAAATAATGTGATGTAACCAAAGGCTCATTAAAGCTAGCTCTTAGGTAAAAATCAAGACTTTGTTGGTAAGGTGAAACAAATGGTAAGAACTTGTATATATGTGTGAATTCATATGCGAATATTTATGATACATTGTATTATACTCTTTTTTTCCTTCGGGGAGTAGAATACATTATATCAGTGTTCTCTGCTTATATAGCTGAAAAGGTCTGTGTTCATAATGGACCATATCAATCTACTGTGACTGTAAAGGATAAAAGTCGAACAACTCTGCCCATATTCCCAGTGTCATCTCTTGATAACATAGCTCTCCCTTGCCACAGACATGTATGCATTTCCTCACATCTGTTCCTTTGCATATGTCGCTTCCTCCATCTAGAATTCCCTTTCCTCCTTTCCTCCCTCCTTCTCTGGATTGACTCCTCTGCATCTTAGAAATACTGAGCTCATACGCTTTGGGAACTTTCTCTGTCCTCTCACGCAAATTGGTGTGTGCATATGCTATTTGTTTAAGTCTCTATGTATTATCTATTAACATAGTTATTTATCTGATCCTCCAGATTATGAGTTTCTCGAAGTCTTCGCCCCTAGGGGCCAAAATATATCCCATTTTTTAAATTTGTTTACAGTATTTTAAAGAAAAAGCAATCATTGAATTAAATATTTCTCTGAGCTTTATTATTGACATGTTCATAAAGAAAGTAACGCTTTGAGGAAGATTTTTTACATGGAATGAGAAAAATTAACATCAGGTTGCTTACAAAAGTATAGAATTGACTGCAGTTGGCTCTAATTGGGTTTAAATCTAAAGCATACACATGATCATCTCAATAGATGCAGAAAAACATTTGACAAAATCCAACACCCTTAAAATCCAGCAAACTAGGAATAGAAGGGAACTTCCTCAGCCTGATCAAGGGTTATCTATGAAAAACTTATTGCTAATATCATACTTAATGGTGAAAGCTTTTACCATTACCTGAACGTTTTCCCCCTAAGATCAGGAACAAGTTAGGGATGTTTACTGTCTTCGCTTTTATCCAACATATCTAGAGGTCCCAGCCAGGCAGTTGGGCAAGAAGAATAAATAGAAGGAAGAAGTAAAGGAAAGGAAGAAGTAAAAGTATCTCTAGTCACAGATGCCATGATTTTATAGATAGAAAAACTGAAGGAATCCACAAAACCACTATTAGAACTAATAAACGAGTTTAGCAAGGTTGCAGGATACAAGATCAATATACAAAAATCAGTTGTATTTCTGTACACTAGCAATAAACAATCTGAAAATGAAATTAAGAGAACAATTTCATTTACAATAACATCAAAAATAAATAATACTTAGGGAAAATTTAACAAAAGATGTGAAAGCTATAAAACATATGTTGAAAGAAATTAAGAAATACCTAAGTAAATGGAAAGATATCGCTTTTTCATGGATCAGAAGATTTAATCTTGTTAAGATGGCAATACACCCCAAACTAATCTACAGATTTAATATAATCCTTATTAAAATCACAGTGCCTTTTTTTGTTTTGCAGAAATTTGACAAACTGATCCTAAAATTCATATGAAAATTCAAGAGACCCAGAATAGCCAAAACAATCTTGAAAAAGACAAAGTTGAAGGACTCAACACTTCCTGGTTTCAAAACTTACCACAAAGCTACAATAATTGAGACAGTGTTATACAGACATAAGAATAGGCACATAGGTCAGTGGAATAGAATTGAGAATCCAGAAATAAACCCTCACATTTATTTATTATTAGTTTTAAAATTTTTTATTGTGCGTTACAGTGGAAGTTTACAGAACAAATTAGTTTCCCATTTGATAGTTTGTATATAAAATGTTCCATGATATTTGTTGCATTCCCCACAATGTATCAGCACTCTCCCCATTTCTGCCCTGGGTTCCTGTTTCCTTTCATCTGGATTTTCTAGCCCTTTCTGCCTTCTCATTGTTGCTTTTGGGCAAATGTTGTCCTTCTGATCTCGTGTAATTGATTGTTCTAAGGAACATGTTCCTCACAGTATTGTTTATTTTATGGGTCTGTCTGTTTTTTGGCTGAAAGCGGTCTCTGGGAATGACTTCAATTCCAAGTCAGAAGAGTGTTTTAGTGCTGTAGTTTTGGGGGTTTCTCCAGTCTCTGTCAGATCAATAAGTCTGATCTTTTTTGTGAATTCGATTTTTTGTTCTACATTTTTCTCCCGCTCTGTACTGGACCCTCTGTTGTGATCCCAGTCAGAGCGGTTGGTAGTGGTAGCTGGGCACCATCTAGTTCTGGTCTTGGAATAGTGTAGGCTGTGACTCATGTGATCCATTAGACTTTTACACTAATTGTCCCTTGAGTCTTTGGTTTTCTTCATTCTCCTTTGCTCTGGATAGGAAGAGACCAATAGTTTTATCTTAGATGGCTGCTTGCAAGCTTTTAAGACCCCACACGCTACCCACCAAAATAGGATGCGGAACATTGTCTTTATGAACTGTGTTGTGCCAGTTGACAAAGATGTCCCCCAAGTCTGTGGTCCTTCATCTTTGAGCCTAGGAACTTTGTCCCACGAGGTGTTTGGTTATATCTAAGAAGTTCCATGATGGCGCCCCTTGTGTGCTCTGTTGTTCATATTAATATACATGCAGCATCTGCAATTATGTATGTAGACATATCCACAACCAAACCTATATCTGCAGGTGGGTGCGCTTCCTTACACTCTCTCACTCATATAACATACTGTCTACCTATGTATCCATTTGTAAATTATTGCTTATTAATGCTATTTTTGCAGGATTGTCTATGTTACAGTAATTACTATTAAAAAACAAAACAAAACAAAAAAAATTATCAAACCCATTGCTGTCGAGTCAGTTCTGACTCATAGGGACCCTACAGGACAGAGTAGAACTGCCCCATAGGGTTTCCAAGGAGCGGCTGCTGGATTTGAACTGCCGAACTTTTGGTTAGCAGCCGAGCTCTTAACCACTTTTACGTTCCTCTCAGTGTCTTCCTTTGCCTTGATCATATTATGCTGACTTCCCCAATATTGTGTGTTGCCTTTCCCTTCACCAGCAGTAACACATGTCTTCTGCCTAGCTAGTAATTTTCCCTCCCTTCCCCTCCCATCCCTGGTAACCACTAAGGAATTTTTTTCTTTTTTCTGTGTGTTAAACTTTTCTTGTTTTTTTTTATAATAGTGATCTCATACAATATTTTCCTTTTCTGATTGACTTATTTCCCTCAGCATAATGTCCTCTAAATTCATCCATGTTTCGTGGATTCATCATTATTCTTTATGGTTGTGTAGTATTCCATTGTGTGTGTGTACCACAGTTTTGTCAATTCATCTGTTGATGGACACTTAGGTTGTTTACATCTTTTTGCTATTGTGAGTAATGCTGCAGTGAACATGGGTGTGCGTATGCTTATTTGTGTCATGCCTCTTATTTCTTTAGGATATACAGTCATTCCTTGGTGTCTGTATGGTTATGGCCTCTTGGTGGATTGACTCTTTAATCAATATATAATATCCTTCCTTATCTTTTATGGTGGATTTTATGAGATCATTATTGCCACTCCTACCCTTTTTTGGTTATTGTTTGCTCTCTATATTTTTTTCCATCCTTCGAGTTTTAGTTTATTTATGTCTTTGTGTCTGAGGTATGTCTCTTGTAGACAGCATATTGATGGGTCATGTTTTTGTATCCATTGTGCCACATTCTGTCCCCTTACTGGTGTATTTAAGCAATTTACATTCAGTGTGATTATCTGTAGGTATGAGTTTACTGCTGTCATTTTTTTTTTATGGTGTTGATGGTTTCTTTGTTCTGCTTAATTTTCTGTGCTGAGTTCTTTTTGTTTGTGGATTTTCATTTCTTTTGTTGTTGTCGATTTTGTGTTTACTGAGTCTTCATGTTTTTCTTATTTTGCTGAGTAGATTTGTTAATTTTCTTTGTGATTAACTTGAAATTTACCTTTATCTTCCGAAGTTTAAGGCAGTCTTTTATTTCTTGATATTGCCTTGACTTCCTCTACGTATGGAAGTTCTGTAACTACACCATTTATTCCCCCTTTTTGTTTTGATGTTGTTGTCGCTTACAGATTGACATCTCTGGTTTCCTGTTTTCCGTCTTTTAGATTTGTTTTATTTTTGAGAATTGTTTGGGTTGGTATCTGGCTGATGTTGTCCTGTGTCCTAATCTCAGGTTATTGTCTGATGTTATTTCTCTGTATAAAGGACTCCTTTTAATTTTCTTGTGAAGTTGGTATGGTTTTTTCATATTCCCTTAATTTCTGTTTATCTGGAAATGTCCCAATTTAGCCATCATATTTAAGAGACAGTTTTAATCGGTATATAATTCTTGGTTTGCAATTTTTTTCTTTCAAGGCTTTATACATGTCATCCCATTGCCTTCTTGCGTGCGTGGTTTCTGCTGAGTAATCAACGCTTAGTCTTGTTGGATCTCCTTTGTAGGTGCATTTTTGTTTTTTCCCAAGCTGCTCTCTGGACTCTTTCTTTGTTTTTGGTTTTAGCAAGTTTGATTATGATATATCTTGGTGAGTTTCTTTTGGGTCTGTCCTGTATGGGGTCTGTTGAGCTTCTGGAATGGGTATCTTCTCATCTTTCATGATATCAGGGAAATTTTCCGCCAGCAAATCTTCGACAGTTCTCTCTGTGGTTTTTTTTTTTGTTGTTGTTTGTTTGTTTTGCCTCCTTCTGTTCTAGAATTTTGATCCTGTGTAAATTTTTTTTCTTGATACTATTCCACATAATCCTTAGGCTTTCTTTATTTTTCTTAATTCTTTTTTATGATGTTTTCCTCAAACAAATTGATGTCAAGGGATTTGTCTTCTGTTTCACTGATTCTGTGTTCCATTGATTCAGTTCTGCTCCTTAGTCCCTTTTATTGAGTTGTCTTTCTGAAATTTTATTGTTAATCTTT